GGTATTGTCAGGAACCTTAAGTAAGTCCCTTCCCCCTCCTGAGTTTAGGTTCCTTTATCTAAATAATCATCATCATCATAGTAATAAAACGGGATCCAGCGGAAGGGTGTAGCGAGGCATCCGCAGGCGTTCTGTAAGCCCTGCAAATGCGGGCCTGTTACCCTGAGTTCAGTGCTTCCTGCAGTGGAGCTGGGAGTGTGCACCTGGGCCCCTTCACTGGAGATTTCGGGGAAAGCTGCTCTGGTCTCAGGCCTTGGGCTCCGTGGGCATCCCTGGCTGAAGAGCATGAGCCTCTGTTATGCCCAGAGTTCGGGGTCCCCAATAATTCACCACCAGGGAGCCTCTTCCGATGCAAAAGCAAAGAGTCGTTTATTCAAACCCAGGTTTGGCTCCCGGTCTCTGTCCGACGCAGCGGTGAGACGAGAGAGCGTGTCCCGGGAGAACAAATGTTATATAGGGCAAGTTATTTGGGTGGGCTTTAGGGGTGACGTGAGTTACAGAGATTGGTCATTTAGGTCAGAAGGGTTAGGGAGTGAGGTGACCAACACATTCTGAAGGTTAGAGCCGTCCTCCTCTACAGCCTTATTAGGACCTGAGCTGCATTTCTGGAGCTTCATTGGTCCATTCAGGTAGTGATTGGGGGAGCTAGGACAATACCAGCATTCTTGCAGTCACTCTCAGAAAAGCGGGGGTGGCTTGGGCTGAGGGCCCAGCCTTGCAAGACAAGATAGAGGAGAGGAAGGATAGTGTGTCTCTGCTCTGTCCTTGAAAAGGGAGGAGGGCATGTTCCTGCTTTGTTCTTTCATTCCCCCCCCTTGTCTTGGAACTCACGGCTCAATCATGAGACGGACTGCATTTCTACCTCGCCCTCCGTCGCTAGAGGCCGGTATTGAGCTTGTAAGACCATTAATTGAACTACCCCTATGCGTTCCTTGACAAATTGAATTAGCTTGTTAATAATGCAGGGGCCAAAAGTTAGCAACATTAGGAGGATTACAAGGGGCCCGACGAGGGCAGAAATGAGAGTAGTTAACCATGGGGACCAGTTGAACAATGATTCATACCAGGACTGAGACTGCTCTTTTTCCAGCTTCCGCTTCTGCAATCCTTCCCTTATGAGGGCCATAGATTCTTTAACAACAACTGAGTGGTCAACATAAAAGCAACATTCCTCTCCCAAAGCTGCACATAAGCCCCCCTGCTGCAGGAATAGCAAGTCTAGTCCTCTTCTGTTTTGGAGCACTACTTCAGATAAGGAGGTGAGAGATTCCTGTAAATGGGTAATAGATTTTTCAATTCTTTCTATGTCTAAGTCAATGGCTGCTCTTAGGGCTCCATAATTCTTGTCCTGTATGACAAGTGAGGATATTCCAGTCCCTGCTCCCGCTAGTCCTAATCCCAGAAGGGCTGCCATAGTTAGAGCAGTGATGGGCTTTCTTTTACTTCGTGGATTGGCAGCGCTGAATTTGTCAAGGACTTCTTTCTCTGAATGGTATATTAACTTGAGAATTAACTGCACGAGCACGCAAAAGCCTTCCTTCTGGGAATTAAGAACCAGGGAGTGGACACAAGGAGCGAGGCCACTGGAGCAGGCCCACCATGCATTCTTAGGAGGTAGAAGATATACTGCCTCTTCGGGGATAGTCAGAGTTTCGTTGCAGAGATGTAACTGCTCAGGGGGTACATTGCCTATGCAAGTCCTTTGCCCCATCACTGCCTGGAGGGTTAATCTTGCAACAGCTTGCTGCCACCTGCAGGAGCTGACAATCGTGGCTGTTGTATAGTTGCCCTTAACCGCGACACCCTCATAATACGGTGGCTCAACGTCTAGACAGAGCCAGCAAGATTTGGTCAGGTCGGGCCTGGAGGCATTTAAAACATAATAGGCTTCTATAACCATGCTTATAAGAGGGTCTACTTCAGGCAGGGGGGTATGATTCAGAGTTAGGTTTTCCATGGTAGGTGCGAGTGGCGTGTTGGGCGGTGAAGCCGGGGCCCATGCTCCTCCAATTGTGGATACCCGAGGTGTGGTCAGCTGAAGTCGAGGAGCTAGTACTTTGTTGGGCCCCACTCCCACAGGGGAATGATAGTGAAGGGGGGTGTTTTGAACCCGGAGGGTGAACAACATCCCAGGGTCCGCACTACGCAAAGCCCCCCTGCAGGAATAGATTCGGAATCCCCAAGTCTTTCCCGTGTCCCATCCTGCAGCCTTTTCCCCTTCTTTCGTGAAGGAAATGTTCATGGGGTTGCAGTAGACACGGCCACTCCGGGGACAAGGTGGAGCAGCCGGCCGTCCGACAGTGATTAGGTCACCCTTCTTTGGGGCCTTCCACCAAATGTGTCCAGTTGACACACATGACCTGGAGGCACAGAAATAGTCCCCAGCACTTCCACAAGGGTCGTTTCCCAGGGACCGAGCCCGTGAGTGCCCGGGGCAGACGTAAAAATAGAGGGTTCTTCTTGGTTTTGAGTCATCAGAAGCCTGCCGTATTGCAGCACCCAGGCAGTAATCGCTGGTATCTCGTGGGTTGGGAAAGAGAGTTAGGAGGTCTACCCGCAGTTCAGGGAACCAGGTGTCTTTGGGATGGACCTGAGAAGTCTGATTAAGGATCACCCCTGAGCTAGTGTCTATGATCTGCCAGGTGATATTATAAGGAGTATGTGGGCTCCCGGTGGCAGGAGTGATCACAAGCAAGGTTACCAACATCAGGCAGGTCGAGTGCGCCGCAGCTTGAGCTTGAGCGGGTTGCGCTGGTCTTGGTCGATGCTCCATTGTGTGATGAAGTCTTCCTGGATTGCAGAGGGGTCGGCTGGGGGAGCGTGGGAGTGGTGGATCCAAGTCGCGATGCCATCTACCTTGAGAGCGGTGGGTGTAGTCAGCACGACGATATAGGGGCCCTTCCAGCGTGGTTCGAGGGTCTCTCGTCGGTGCCTTCTGATGAACACCCAGTCTCCTGGCTGGTACTGATGAGGCGTCGAGTGGGGCCAGCCTCGTAGACAGCGCGGAGGCGCGGCCAAATGTCCTCGTGCGCCCTCTGCAGTTCTCTTAGGAAAAAAGATATCTCCTGATTTTCAAACTCAACAAGAAGTTCAGCTTTTAGGTTAGGGATGATAGGAGGGGGCCTACCAAACATGATTTCGTAAGGGGTGAGACCCAGAGTGTAAGGGGAGTTCCTCACCCGGTAAAGGGCATACGGAAGGAGAGCCACCCAATCCCCGCCAGTCTCCATAGTTAATTTGGTAAGGGTCTCTTTTAGAGTTCTATTCATTCTTTCTACCTGCCCTGAACTCTGGGGCCTATAAGCACAATGTAATTTCCAATCCGCCCCTATGACCTTGGCTACTGCCTGTGTTACCTGCGAAATAAAGGCTGGTCCGTTGTCAGATCCTATCAGAGCAGGAAAACCATACCTGGGTAAGATGTCTTCCAGTAGCTTCTTGGCCACCGTCTGGGCTGTTTCATGCTTGGTTGGGTACGCCTCTACCCAGCCAGAGAAGGTGTCTATGAATACTAAAAGATATTTATAACCATACTTTCCTGGTTTGACTTCAGTGAAGTCGACCTCCCAGTGTGCTCCTGGTTTGGTGCCTCTGAGCCTGGTTCCTTGTCCACCTGATCCAGCTCTTGCGTTTGTGAGTTGGCAGGTTTTTCAGGAGGCTATAATCTGATTGATTTTGGAGTCTTGTTGGTGAATCTTGATCTTGGCATGCTGAATTAAGTCCTTTAACTTCCGGGCTCCCAAGTGGGTGGACCGATGCATGCGTTCTAACACTGTGACCCCAAGCCAGTCCGGTAGTATGAGTTTCTCATCCGAGGTATACCACCATCCCTTTATTTCCTTGGTGAGGGGAAGCTTTCTGATCTGCTGCAGCTCTTCCTGAGAGTACCTAGGCTGGTCTGGTAGAACTGGGTCCCCGGGGTCTGGTAGTTGTAAGGCCATGGCGGGGACGGGGACTGAGGTGAAGGCCGCTGCCTTGGCTGCCTGATCAGCCTTTTGGTTGCCTCTTGCTACTGGATCATCTGCCTTCTGGTGCCCTTGACAGTGGACAATGGCTAACTTCGCGGGAAGCCATAGGGCAGCAAGCAGGTCTAGAATTTCCTGTTTGTTTTTTTTTACTGTCCGTCCCTCTGCTGTCAATAGCCCTCTTTCCTGGTAAATCGCCCCGTGGACATGGGCCGTAGCAAATGCATAACGGCTGTCTGTGTAAATGTTAAGCCGCTTCCCCGCCCCCAGTGTCAGTGCCTTGGTGAGAGCAATGAGTTCTGCTCGCTGGGCTGATGTCCCAGGGGGCAGTGCTTCTGCCCACACAGTGTCCGTGTTGGTGACCACTGCTGCACCTGCATACCTGCATCCGTCTCGCACGAAGCTGCTCCCATCCGTGAACCAGGTGGCCTCTGCGTCAGGGAGGGGCCGATCGGTCAAATCCTTCCGAAGTCCATGTACCTGCTCCAGGATCCCTGCACAGTTATGCAGTGGGGCATCGAGGTCCTCATGTAGCGCCTCGTCGAAGATGGTGGGCGAATTCTTGAACCCTTGGGGTAATCGTGTCCAGGCTAATTGTCCACTGTAGCCTTCCTCTGGATCGTGCCATTCAAAGGCGAACAGGGGTTGGCTTTGAGGCGCGAGCGGCAGGCTGAAAAAAGCATCCTTCAAATCCAATACAGTGTACCAGACTCTAGAGGGTGTCAAAGAGCTTAGGAGAGTGTACGGGTTGGGGACGGTTGGGTGTATATTCATAACTCTTTTATTTACTTCTCGGAGGTCCTGGACTGGTCGGTAATCATTCGTGTGGGGCTTTCTGACTGGCAGGAGGGGGGTGTTCCAGGCAGATTGGCATGGAACCAGTATCCCTAGGCTTCGTAGTCTTCGGATATGAGGCTGAATCCCCTTCCGAGCCTCCTGGGACATAGGGTACTGTTTAACTCTGATGGGACCTTCCCCTGGTTTCGACTCTACCAGGGTTGGGGCCCTGTGAGCAGCCAGTCCTATTCCTCCCGTCTCTGCCCAGGCAGTGGGGAATTCTTGTAGCCATTTGTCCATATTGTTCTCCCCTGTGGGCGCCCCCTGGTGGAGGCGATATTCATCCTCCAGTCGCAGAGTCAGAACCTGGGTGGGATGGCCTTTGCCATCGGTGACCTGGGGCCCCCCTTGTCTGAAAGTTATTTGAGCTCCAATCTTGGTTAGCAAGTCCCGTCCTAAAAGGGGGTAGGGGCACTCCGGTATTACCATGAAGGAATGGGATACCCGGCCCGTTCCTAGATCTACTGTTCTTCGGGTAGTCCATGAATACTGGCTTATGCCAGTTGCCCCTTGCACCCAGGACTTTTTGCTGGCTAGCTTCCCTTGAGGTGTGCGTAGGACTGAGTGTTGTGCTCCAGTGTCGACAAGGAAGTTAACAGGGGTCCCCTCCACTCTAAGAGTTACCCTGGGCTCGGGGAGGGGGTCCGAACCCCGACCCCCCTAATCACTCAGTCCTCCCAGCTCCAAGACCTCCACCCGGTCCGTTTTGTTTCCCTTTTTACCGGCCTTCTTTGGGCAGTCCCGGACCCAGTGTCCTATTTCTTTGCAGTAGGCACACTGGTTCCGTTGCAGCTTCTTCTTCCCGCCCCGGGCGGTCCCCTTACCTTCTTCTTGGTCATCAGCAAGCTGGCGAAGGCGGCGGGTCCGGTCCTCTGGGGACTCCATGGTGGTGGCTAGCAGAATCTTGGCCAGGTTTCGGGTTTGCTTGTCACTGGCAGTCACCATGGCGCGGGCTTGCCTATCCTCAGGAGATTCTCGATTATTATACACCTTTTCAGCCACCTCCAGCAAGTCCCGAAAACTCTTTTCCCCTAATCTATCTATCCGCTGCAGTTTCTTTCTAATGTCTATGGCTGACTGGTTTATAAAACTCATGACCACAGCTGCCTTATTTTCTGGAGCTTCTGGATCCATGGGGGTATAGGTGCGATATGCCTCCATGATCCGCTCCAGAAAGGCAGCTGGAGACTCATCTCTTTCCTGCTGTACATTCCCTACCTTGGTCAAATTGGTAGGCTTCCTAGCAGCCATACGGAGACCCCTGATCAGAGTCTGGCGGTAGATTCGGAGCCTCTCCTTACCTTCTGCCGTGTTGAAGTCCCAGTTAGGCCTAGTTAAGGGGAAAGAGACATCTATCTGTGCCTGGTTGGTGGTTGGATTTCCATCTACACCGGGAACCACTTTCCGGGCCTCATTGAGGATTCTCTCTCTCTCCTCCGTTGTGAACAGGACCTGTAAAAGCTGCTGACAGTCATCCCATGTGGGCTGATGGGTGAAAAGAACAGAATCTAGCAAGTCAATAAGTCCCCCCGGCTTCTCGGAGAACTTAGGGTTCTGTGCCTTCCAGTTGTACAAATCACTCGTAGCGAAAGGCCAGTAAAGATAAGGTTGATTGCCATCCACATCTGGGGGTCCAGCGGCCCGTAAGGGCAGGGTCTTGATAGTAGAATCGGGTGCGGCAATGGACAGCTCTCTCTGAGCCCTCAGCCGGGTGAGGGGCGGACCTCCCATCGGAATCGCGGCCATTCCCGGAACCGGAACCCCGCTCCCGGCCGGAACCGGAACTGCGTTCCCGGCCACACCCGGAACCCCGCTCCCGGCCGGAACCGGAACTGCGTTCCCGGCCACACCCGGAACCCCGCTCCCGGCCGGAACCGGAACTGCGTTCCCGGCCACACCCGGAACCCCGCTCCCGGCCGGAACCGGAACTGCGTTCCCGGCCACACCCGGAACCCCGCTCCCGGCCGGAACCGGAACTGCGTCAGCTTCCCGCGACGGGGCAGGATCCAATCTCTCCGGCAACCTGGGGAGCCGATACGGGGGAGGAAAAATTAGCTCTTCTTCGTTACCCCCCTGCAAAACCGGGTAGAGGGGAGCTGGAGCCGATGGCAGGGTGGTCTTTTTCTCCTCCTTTTTCTTCTTCTCCGTTTCCTGCAAGGCAAGAATGGGTGCCGGCTCCGGTGGGCGTGGAGCCAGGAAGGGCTTGAGCCAGGAGGGAGGGTCCTCCACGAGATCCTGCCAAGTAACAATGTAAGGGAGCTGATCTGGATGACCCCCCTTTGGCCGAGAAACAATTTCTCTGACCCGGCGAATGGTGGGGAGGTCGAAAGTCCCCTCCATAGGCCACCCAGCATTGAGAGCTGGCCACTCGCTGGAACAGAAAGTCTGCCATCGACCCTTCCTCACCTCCACACTAAGGTTAGTAGCCCTTCCCTTAACCTCTTTAAAATGATCAACCATGATGCTCAAAGGAGTAGTTTGAGTCTGTCCCATAACGTCCGTCCAGTGAGTCCACAAAATTAGACAAAAGAACACAGACAACAGACAAACAAAGATAACTAAGAACAGCCTTCCCACCCTGCGGAAGAAAAACTGGACGATGGCCGTATGCCAACCAGCGGGAGCGACCCGCCTCGTCCCAGAGGTTCAGAGTTTGAAGGGAGTCCACTCCCCTCGTGAGGGGTTTTTACACCCCTCCAGACGGAGGGCCAAGGCGTCCCCTGACTCCTCCTGCCTGAGATCCACCCGTGCGTCCACTTAGATCTTTATCAGGCACAGATTACAGAAGCGAGCTCGTACAGAACAGAACAGAGGACACACAGACACTTACCGCGGTTAGCAGACCCTCCGGAGTGGGGTCCCTTGTGGGAATTTGGGGATCCCGGACGCGCCCCCAAATGTTATGCCCAGAGTTCGGGGTCCCCAATAATTCACCACCAGGGAGCCTCTTCCGATGCAAAAGCAAAGAGTCGTTTATTCAAACCCAGGTTTGGCTCCCGGTCTCTGTCCGGCGCAGCGGTGAGACGAGAGAGAGCATGTCCCGGGAGAACAAAGGTTATATAGGGCAAGTTATTTGGGTGGGCTTTAGGGGTGACGTGAGTTACAGAGATTGGTCATTTAGGTCAGAAGGGTTAGAGATTGAGGTGACCAACACATTCTGAAGGTTAGAGCCGTCCTCCTCTTCAGCCTTATTAGGACCTGAGCTGCATTTCTGGAGCTTCATTGGTCCATTCAGGTAGTGATTGGGGGAGTTAGGACAATACCAGCATTCTTGCAGTCACTCTCAGAAAAGCGGGGGGGCGGGGGCTTGGGCTGAGGGCCCAGCCTTGCAAGACAAGATAGAGGAGAGGGAGGAGAGTGTGTCTCTGCTCTGTCCTTGAAAAGGGAGGAGGGCTTGTTCCTGCTTTGTTCTTTCAGATTCACATTGTAGATGCCTTTAAGAACATTCCTGATTCATGAGAAGAGGTAGAAATATTAACATTACAGGAGTTTGCAAGAAGTTGATTCCAACCCTCACTGATAACTTCAGTGGAGGAAGTAATCACAAATGTGGTGGAAATAGCAAGAGAACTAGAATCAGAAGTGGAACCTGAAGATGTGACTGAATTGCTGCAATCCTATGATAAAACTTGAATAAACGTGGAGTTGCTTTTTATGGGTGAGCAAAGAAAGTGGTTTCTTGAGATGAAACTTACTCCTGGTGAATATGCTGTCGATATTGTTGAAATGACAACAAAAGATTATTACATAAAGTTAGTCCATAAAGCAGGACCTGAGAGGATTAACTCCAATTTTGAAAGAAGGTTGGTGGGTAAAAATGCTATTAAACAGCATCACAGATGACAGAAAAATTGTTTATGAAAGGAAGAGTTAATCAAAATGGGAAATATTGTTTTTTTATTTAAAGAAATTGCCACAGCCACCCCGCCCTTCAGCAACCACCATTCTAATATTTTTAGAATTTTAGCCCATCAACATTAAGGCAAGACCCTTCACCAGCAAAAAAACTGCGATTCACTGAAGTCTTGAATGCTGGTTAATAATTTTTAGCAATAAAGTATTTTTAAATTAAACTATGTACCCAAATAGACATAATACTACTTAATAGATAGTATAGTGAAACATAACTTTTATATGTATTGGGAAAGCAAAAAATTGTGGTAGTTTATTGCAATTCACGCTTTATTTTGGTGGTCTAGAATGGAACCTGTAATATTTCTGAAGTATGCCTGTAATGTACAATCAGCAAAGCAATCCCCAAAGTGCTAGCAATAGTTTCAAATTCAGGTAAAATTAAATGCAGATATTTGCAGAGTGGGTCAGGGAGCTGGTATAAAATAAAATATGAAGGCGTTACAAGTTTCTTTTTAGTCTAAACAAAATTATTTGAATAAAAAATCCTACTTTTTACATTTTCAGAAGCAGTTCTCTTACCTGAAAGTTTTCTTTGATCAATGTAGGCTCAAAGCTTTTAGGAATGACAACTATCCCTCGCTGGATATTGAAACGCAAAGCAACCTGAGCTGCAGTCTTATTGTACTTTTTCCCCAATGAGTTTAGAAGTTCATCCTCTAACAAAGGTTCGAAGTATGTAGTCAACCTTAAAAAAATAAAAACATGCATGATATTTAGCTAGAATCAATGAGAAGCAGTGGTTAATCAATCCTCCTTCTCTGTCTTCCCATTCACCTGGTAACCTACCAGGACATTTCAGGTCACCTGTAAGCAATTTCTGTGATTGCGGAGTCCTCAATGAAGAGTTGTTCTTAGTGTGGGAAGATCAAGAGAGGCAAATTTATATTGCTGCCTTTTTGAGAAAGTAAATATGTTTTGATGTATCTTACAGAGAGGGCTGGGCTGAAAGAAGACATATGTGAGAAGGCCGGTAGCCTGAAGTGGAATAAGTAGAAATACAACTCTTGGAATCATATTAGAGTAGAAAAATTTCTACTTTGGTCTGTGGAACACATCATAGTAGAAGTGTTGCCAATGATTACAGAGATAAAAAATTCTAAAATTTCAGAATTTAGGCCATAGAGACTCTATCAAATAACAACTAAACTAGCATTTATGGATCACTTCTGTATTTTAGGCACTGTTAGGTAATTTTATACATGTAGCATAATCAATTCTTATAACATCTAAGTGAGGAAGGTTTTATTAGCTCAGTTTGGATATATGGAGAATGACCTGAAGAGTTTAAGTAAGTTTCTTAATATTACACAGCCCAATGGAATCATTTAAATAAATAAAATAATTCACATTAGCCTCATACTCTACATCAAAGGAAACACTTCCTGAAGAGATGTATAGTATTACTTACCAGTCTCGATGATTAGAGATCCCCAAAGGAATAAATGCAACTATGAGAATATCATGTTGTTGGCAAAATTCCAGGAGTTTTGTCTGAGTGAAATATGGATGGCATTCCACCTATGTGGTTGCATTGAAGAGCAGAGCACAAAATTAAGGCCTTGTAGGTGAATGCAATTTTATATAGTTTTAAAAAATCTTTTAAATAAACTTCTTTTTAAAGTATTATGGATAGTGAGACAAATTCTAAATATTTTTCCTAACAAGGAAACTTACATTGTTTATATACTGGCGAAGTTAATTACGGCAAGGTTAGTAAGGGCACCATCTGTGAATTAATTATAAAATAATTGGGGGGTGGAATTCAATTTTGTGTCCCTATCATAGTTTAAAACTTGAAATGCACAGAATCAGTTATTTATAATAAACATCCTAGAAAATACAATTTCTATAACAAACAGTCTCAATGTTCAGATTAGTCTTAGTAAGTAGAAGCGACATGTTACAGAAGCCCTCTGCTCTAGCTATCAAACATCTGAGAATATTTTCACAAGAGGAAGAACATGTATGAAACTAAATTTAAAGATAAATTTTATTTTCTTGGATGAGAGTTCTATTTATTTTTTTACATTCAACATTGAAAACAGTAAGTATTATACAGAGAGGACAGAGGCAAAATCTTTGGGGTTATTACTGTGGATGCTGCAAACTGTTGAAGTTGGGGCTTCAGAAGGGCTGCAGTATTGGTAAGCCATCTCTACAGTATTGCTGTGCTCTGCTTTCAGACACCACGCAACACATGAATAGGCTCAAGCTGTGATCTTCCAAAAGGTCTTGCCTCCTTGGTCGGATATATTTGTGTAGCTGATCAACATTCTTGTGCCAACAGATTAGGATATTTACTCATTCGCATGAGGTGACACACTGTCAAATTTTTGCTCTCTTTTTCATTCTGAGATAATAAGTTACCATCTTTCTCTATATACTAGTAGCCCGGTGCATGAAATTCGTGCACATTAAAAGGGAATTAATTGCCCTAACTGGTTTGGCTCAGTGGATAGAGCATCGGCCTGCAGACTCAAAGGTCCCAGGTTCAATTCTGGTCAAGAGCATGTACCTTGGTTGTAGGCACATCCCCAGTGGGGAGTGTGCAGGAGGCAGCTGATCGATGTTTCTCTCTCATCGATGTTTCTAATTCTCTATTCCTCTCCCTTCCTCTCTGTAAAAAATCAATAAAATATATTTTTTTTAAAAAGGGAATTAATTAGCAGAGATATTTTAATATTGCTATTAGCCCTTTCTCTATAATAGAAATGTGAGAGATGAAAGGAAATTAGTAAAATGTATATGAAAATAATATATAAATTTATTAATAAATAAACAGTAACAGAAGGATATAAGAACAACAGAGGCATGATATAAAAACGACAAAAACATGATATGAAAACAGCAAAAACATGATATGAAAACAACAAAAACATGATATAAAAACAACAGTGATGCAAACAATGACTGATAAAGTGATTAAACTTATTCTAATATCTCCCTGTACACCACATTAAGAGTGAAAACACTTTCAGAGTGCTGGACTAATTTCGCTTGTGATAAGTACTTAGAACTTTAACTGTAACATCACATGCTCTTCAAACTCGAGAGAAAGCGACATATAACTGACCATGTGCAAAAACGGCTTCAGGTAGGAATATGCCTACTTTGTCTGGAGTTTGTCCTTGTGATTTATTAATAGTCATCACAAATGCTGGCATCATGGGAAACCGTCATTGAATCAATTTAAATGGGGACAAATTAATTCCAGGAATCAGAACAGCCTCTCCCTCTGCAGATCCTGTTAATACTTCAGTTTCGATAATGTTAGGTTGTAATCTTTTGATGATAAATCTGGTACCATTACAAAGATCCCATTTACTTTTGAGATTTCCCAATAGCATGAAGATTGCGCCCACTTTCAATTCTTGGCTGCACATTAAAATCACCTGGGAATCTTTTTAAAATCCTGATTCCTGGGC